TTATTTTAAATTTCAACCACATATTTTTCAAAAATACTATTCCTTACTCCATTTTTCTACCAATAATGGTAGACAAACAAGGTCTAAGACTAAATTACGAGTTTGTTTGAGCTCGACTTTTGGAAAATAAATTTTGTAATCGTGATTTTTTTTTTAAAGAATATGTGGCTAAACAGTAGCAAAAGATTTCGATTTTATATGTAAAATTATTTTATTGGAAGAATGTGTAGTTAAAAATAAGTTTTACTGTAAGTTTTGTCTTGATCTCTCGTTACACTTTTGCCTCCAAACTTTTTTTTTTTTTTGTAAGACTTTAATCTCGACCTTTCATTAATTAAGGTAATTCGTCCATACTAACAGTTACAATCAAAAAATTTCTATTAGTCAAATATCAATTTACTTGGTCGACCACGAGAATAACCGAAAATCACCCTTCCCGTATGGTCGTTCAACTTTGAGTTAAATTGTCGCCAGACTAATTGTTGTTTCCTTGTAATTTTTAAGAGATCGTGGAAGTCGTTAAGCCCTGTTAAAGAAGAAGATTTTTCTATTTCTTTGCTCACACTGGTATGGATGGAGATACTGAAGAATCTAATTCTGCTCTGTTGGAAAATAAAAGAAAATTTATATTTAGCATTGGAAAAGTCGTTTTTCTTTTGCATTTAAATTATTTTTCCCATTCTATAATTAGTATAAGGGTAATATTTATTTAGTTTTAACTCATATTTTCCTTTTTTGTGTCTAACTAATAGAGTATTCGTTTAATTAATAAAAGGTTTAGATTATAAAAGTATAAAAAGTGGGAAAAGTGTGATTGAGGTAAATGTGGACGAAGAGAGCCATTAATTAAAGATCAATTTCCTACAAAATAAAAAAATAATTTGCCAACCTCTAGTTTTGATTCTTTGAGTCAGGTGATTTAGCAAGGTTTATAAGACGTGACGAAGTGTGAATTTTAAGCTGCAAATCTTAAGAACATAAACGTAATAAGACATTTTTCATTTTTAATATTTATTTAAATTATTGTAGATCAAAGAATACATAAAATATCGCAAATCTTGAAAAATTTATAGGTTCCTCAAACATATTTTGCAATCAAAAAAGGGAGAGCCGATTGCTTGCGATGTTTGCTATCGGTTTGCGCCGGAGGGTGGTGAGAATGGTGCGGTTGCCGAATTTGTGCGAGAACGAGAGGTTAATGAACGAGAGTTTCGATTTGGGGGAAATGTAGAGGTGTCAATCCGGGTGGTCCGGGTCGGGTCGGCCCGCCAACATGTGAGCCCGGTAACGGCCCGCGTGAAAAAAAGCCCGCCCGCTGCGGGTTCCGGGCCG